CTGTCGCTCATTCTGGAGCACATGCTTAGATTCAGATCATGCTCTAGTACGAGCGCGTATCTGTCTGCGTCTTACTGGACGTAGGAAAGACGCTGCAAGTAAACCTCTTAGGGCCCTACTTAATGATAGTCAAGCTAAGAGTATATTTCAGGAACAACTAGGTAGACAGTTAGGCAGCCATGTATGTGATGCCCACCCCGAGGCAGAATGGAATGATATCCGAAAAGCTGTGGAAACAGCAGTGATATCTGCTAGTAAGGTAAACCAGAAGGTTAGGGAGCAACACTGGATCTCAGCAGCATCTATCTCACTGATAGATGCTCGGAAACTCATTCCACCTGGCTCTGAACATAATGAAGAGCGGAGTCAGCTTAAGCGCAAGCTGACAAGAAGTCTACGCAATGATCGCGAACAGTGGCGGGTAGCGAAAGCAAGAGAGATGGAAAAGGCAGCGGCAATAGGTAATAGCAGACAATTGTTCAGACTCGTTAAGGAAACCGGAATTAGGAACCCGACCGTTAGCAAAACAATCTCAGAGAAAGATGGACATATTATTCATTCTCAATCCAGGAGATTGGATCGATGGGCAGAACACTTTAGGGATCACTTCATTTGGCCTTCAGTCACACTTCGGTTTCCCACGATCTCTAGTCAACCTGAATGGCAAGTTAATGTAGGTCCTCCGTCTCTTTACGAAGTTGAAAAGCTATAGGAAATCTGAAGCGAGGGAGAGCAGCAGGCTCTGACAAGTTTACTCCTGAGATCTTTAAGGATGGTGGTCCAGTATTAGCAATGAGATTAACCGAGGTCTTAGGTAGAATTTGGGAACTGGACGTAATCCCATCTGACTGGTCTCAATCACTGATTGTGCCAGTCTATAAGAAAGGACAAAAGTCCTCTTGTGACAATCACAGATGAATCAGTTTGACTAATATAGTATCTGGAATATTAGCTTCAATAATACTTCGACGCCTAACTAAAGCTCGTGAAGAACAGACTAGAGAAAATCAGGCTGGTTTTCGACCTGGACGTGGTTGTATAGACCACATATCCACACTATGTCAGGTTTTAGAACACAGACACACGTTCAGACGCCCCACAATCGTAGTATTCCTCGACCTTAAAGCAGCATTCGACTCTGTCGATCGTGAGGTTCTATGACAGTGTTTGTCACTGAAAGGAGTACCAAAGAAGTACATTAACCTTGTAAAGGCTCTCTACTCGAACACAACTGGTCGAGTGAGAGCTTATGGCGAACTGTCATCACAATTGATTACCTCAAGTGGTGTTCGTCAGGGTTGTCCACTCTCTCCATTCTTGTTCAACTTTGTCGTCGACGTACTTTTAGAGATAACACTTTCCTCGTCTAAATTTCCAGGGGTTGAACTTCTACCGGGAGGTTCACTTGTTGACTTAGAATGTGATGATGACATAGTTTTACTTGGTGAAGACGCTGACAAAACGCAGTCTTATGACCACTCTAAGTAGCAATACAAGCATGTTCGGGATGCGATTCTCCCCCAAGAAATGCAAAATGTTGCTTCAGGATTGGGTTACATCGACTCCAGAACTAATGATAGGGAGTGAAGTAATTGAGCGTGTCGATCGCTTCACTTATCTTGGAAGTCTCAACAGCCCTTGTGGTCTAGTGTGTGACGAAATCTCAGCACAGATACAGAAGGCTCGACTAGTTTTTGCCAACTTGCGTCATTTATGGCGTAGGCGAGATATCCGTTTATCAATCAAAGGACGTGTTTACTGCGCAGATGTTCGTTCCGTCCTACTGTATGGCGGTGAAACATGGCCAGTGATAGTAGAGGATATTCGTAGGTTACTAGTATTTGATCATCGGTGTCTTCGAAGCATTGCTCGTATATTCTGGGACCACCGAGTAAGTAATACGGTTGTTGGGAAACGGGTACTAGGTAAGAATGGCAAATCGACTGATGAAGTAGTGAAACTTCATCAGTTGAGATGGCTGGGACACGTGTTACGTATGCCCAACCACCGACTGCCTCGATGTGCGATGTTTAGTGGTATAGGAGTGGATTGGAAGAAAGCTAGGGGCGGCCAGACCAAAACATGGCACAAGTCCATGAAGTCACTGACAAGTGGACTGAGTCATGTTGGTAGGTGTAGACTACCTGGTTGGGGACCGTGAGATGACAGCAACCGATGATTAGAGACCCTGAATGACATAACTCAAAATCGTTTGCAAGGGCGCAGGTGCATACACTCTTTGCGTTCTTCCAAATTCTAATTTCCTGGTTCCTCCTTGTCTCTTTTTTCTCTTCCTAAATTTATTTCACTGGATTATACTCTTTAAACAACATCTACAAACCCTAATCTTTCCAATTACTGCTTATACTCTTACTACTTCTACCACTACGGGATTTGAATCGACAACTGCATCTCTATGCTAATGTGGTATGGCAACTCGAACTGATGTACGTACGTACGAAGTTCCACGTTGTTACTGACTGACCGACCCAGTATCCTACGACTAACTTTGGCCAGGGATATTCAACCTCAATACAACTTATGAGAAGCAAACCAATATCAATTAGGTTGAGATTCTATTACGGCAAATTATTCAGTGCGAACACATGGAGTTTTAAATCATTTTTACGATATTTTGTATTAGTGACAAATACTCAATTTAAGTATTCTAATTATTTCTTTAACGATATATAATTGATAAAACTTATTGCATTTCGGGATGATTATACTGGGCGAAAATGAAATAGCTTAATCTACAAAAACTGATGTTTTCACTCTGGTCACTGGGGCAGGAAAGAAAAGAGGATGTAAGTAGTTTTTTCTTGGCATTCACGTCAGAGTTGCGAATTATTAGCAGTGCAAAAAATATTAGAATTGGTTACGAGAGATCTAAAAACGAAGTATTATCGAGATTACTGATCCTATTGTCAGTACCAAACGAGTACTGTGTTTATCAACATTATAACGAAAGACTATCCTTTATTAAAGAATAAGGTGATCAATTTAAACGCCTCTAGTGAAATTACATATCTTTCCGAATAAGTCCTAAATTGCAATCTCCACCAATTAGTAATTTTTCACAAACAAAAGGTACTATGAGAAAACACAATCTTAAAGCACAACAAAGTACGATGGTTACGGAACGTTAAAATTAACAACTGATAATATTGTCCAACATTTTCAAAAATATCTGAATGTAATGAATAAAGCTCTAAATAGATTTCACGAAATGAAGAACAAAACATGAAAATCCTGATACTATCACGACAGTAAGACAAGATGCAAAAACAAAACAAAACTGAAACTTAAATTGACATGCTGTAAAACCTTATGTTCAACAGAACCAAGATGACCAAGGATATAGCAGAACGGCTTATCTCTTATGTAGGAATAAGCAACCTCAAATGTATGTCAATATGTGGCTTTAGAAATTGTTGAGTTTCATCGAAACCACGAACCACTGTTGAAAACATGGTCATGATTTGACTGAGATCCAACAATCCCCATAACCCCATACTAACAATCATCATGTTCTCACTAGTGACTGACCCCGAGAGAGAATTTCAGAAGCTCTAGTGAGAATCCGTGAGCGCCAATGGAGCTAAACTGCGTCATATGTGGTAGTTAACTACCGTAGACGATGGAAGGTGGTCACGCAATATCGTGGATTCATTGAAGTTAGACATTAGCACGAATGAATTCTGACTCAGAAGTCTAGAAGTCAGACGTCCGCGCGTGAGCCTGAAGGTGTTAGACTCAATTTTAGAGTCCGAGGCCGTGGGTGTGCGCTTCTGGGGTGTCCCGTACTAGGACGAAAAGGCTGTCTAGTGCTTTCAGGGTCTCAACGGTGTTCAAATTTGGATCAGTTCATAATTTCAACGAAACTGAAAACACAACTTTCATTCTTCGTGAAGAATCTAAATGAAGTGAGTGTTAGGAATTATAGAATTATCTGTAAAACTCAACTCGGAAGCAGTACAGAAGCATGTGTAAATTTAAGATGCACACTTATAAACTGAAAATGATTGATACCGGTTACTGGTTCAAAATCTTGTTAGATAACTAAGAGTTAAAATCCATATGATACTGATGGACACTTAAACGTACCCAAAGAACAAACACAGATTAAGTTGCCCGACCGCAGCTGCCAACTTGACGTGGTGGTCGAGCTTGCCTATCGTGATGACTCAGTCGAGCTATATTGGCTGGAACAATTGTCTCTTCAGGTCCTACCATGCCAGACAGGTCGGGTGGAGAACGGTAAAACTAGAAGCAGCAAATTAAGGCCTGTGGGTGAACTTATACTCCTGACTGTAGAGGGCTGTGACAGTAGACAATCAGCATCTGCAGCGATGCTGCTTTTTGTGAAGGAATGAAAAGGTTGGAAAACGTCTATCATAAAATTGTCACACCTCACCTCACTCTACAGATTTCCATCTGCAGGAGTAAATTTGTTTGAAACGCGTACCATAAGAAGGTCGTGCATGACCGTCCCCAAGCAGTCGTCCTTGATCATTCTTTTTCAAATATCTTAAGAAATATCCTTCCACGGTGTGGGCAAGCAGGTGACAGCTGCCATCATACCTCTAACTGCATCTGACATCATCATGTCCAAATTAAGCTACGACAGAAAGCTGCCACAATAAACCATTAAGAGCAATAGGGTAACTATAACAATGTACATTCTTTTTTTGATTTTGAAGAATAACATCAAAAAGATTGAAACACAACCAATGTAATCCAATCATGCTGGGTAACATAAACTATACTATGGTTATCATGAACTTGGAATCCAAGAGGATGATAATGTCTGACATTCACGTTTACTTATAGTAAACTAACACTGTGAACACTGATTTCTTATCACACGCAATAAGAACCAACCGTCAGTGACTAACACATGTTATAAAATTAAGATGTGAACAGTGTTTCCACGAGTGTTAAAAACGTTTAACATTACATAAAACACTTATATAATTGAGTGTTAAGATGTAACTCACTTTTAAAATACAGTATAATAAGCATACAAATATTCTCCCAGCTAAGATGCCCTGTAGTTTCCAATTTAATTCTACCAGGAAATATATCCACAGAATCCCAGGTGGTATGTGTCTTAGGAATAAAAATATATATTCCAAAAAACAGAGTAATGAACCCTGAAACGAAAATGGCGTAAAATGGATACCAGAATGTATGAGAAGTTGGACAAACATGACTAGAATGTTTATTTGTTTATATAAGCATGTAAACATTGGTACAAGGAGTCACCACATGTATATGCGCCACACAAATAACTCAATTTGTGCAAGAGCTGGATTATTGCTCGGGTGCCCAAACTGAAGCAGGTGGCTTTCTTAAGGGGCTACACCCCGAGCCTTAGACCTAAAGGTCTAATCCATAAGGCAGTGGAGCAACGTAAGCAGATGCAGTCCCATGGTAGCCTGTGACCAACAATAGGTTCGTACGCCATTTGTTTCCTTAGGATCCTAGAGCTCATGTACACCATTGGTTTGGAATCAGAGTTTTCTAACTCCCCTAAGTGGGTCCTCCGTATCCACCAACTCATATAAAGTGCCGGCTTTTCGCCCTCTCAATTTCGCACCACGAGAAGGCAGTGACTAGAATGTACGTGCATTTACACAACAACCAGCTAGCGGAAGATGTTGTGTGCTCTAAACCTCATATATCTAACAGTAAGGTTATTAGACTGACAGGAAGTAACGAAAATTATCTCTATCTTGATTCTATAGTCATAAAATTTATTTGGGTGTGAATGACCTCAACGCCATGAAGGGACCACTAAATGCTTGGTTAGAAAACTTCAAAATGCTACTTTTTTTATTCGTGTCAAGTTTTTTGACCGACTGTTTTAATGATGAAAGTCAATACTGTCAAGTTTACCGCTAGTGCAAATTTTGAAGTGTATGTAATAATCGTTGCTAGCACACAAGAAATCAGTACTACTTTATGTAGATAACTTGAATGATATCAAGTGGTTGTATCATAAACTGACAAATTATTTCACTGGATGAAGGACTTAGAAATTTTTTTAAATAACACACCTTAACTCAATCAGTTATGGAAATCAAACGACCGTCGAAACACAACCAAGGCCGATTGGTTGTATAAGAGTGAAGAAAACACACAATAACAACATTCCGTCTACAAGCATTACATTAGTTAAGGTCATAAAAGTTCTTGAATCTTACTACTTTACTAATTGACGTGTAGCAGGAAAGAATTTATTAAACAATTCTGGATTACCTGAGACCATTATTTAACCACATTACAGCAATGGAACTGTAGTTTGTAGAGTATATATTACGGTCAGATTGACAACCATTACCCCAACATACGGGTTAAGATTGACTACTATAACGAGAGTTCTAGTCCACTTTCTCTATGGAAAAGTTTTTAAAGCCATTTAAAAATTTTCTCTCATGAAGTTTCTTAAAGTCAATAAATCTTCGCCATCCCATCCGATATTAATGAGAACTCTTTCCAAATGAACTTAATTATGATGTGCAACAGCGCCGTTACTCACTAATAACTTGGAAAGAGTGGTGACTTAGAAGTTTGACCATTCGAATTGTAACCAGTTGGTAATAAGTCTAAAACCCACTTTACTTAGATTTCACAGTGAGTAACCATAACTAGACTCTACGCAGAAAGTAGTTTAATGTAAATACGAGCTAAAAGTTGATTACAGAGTTGTAGGTCGTAGAACCATTGACTGAGTAGTACTAAGTTAAGGGAAAACCAGAGGTGCTTTCAGATGAGTAATGCAGTGTACTGAGTCGATAAGCTACAGAATGAAACCCACTCTATGATTCTTTCGAAAATATTTTCTCTACTGAGTTCTGTATGTTTGATTTTTTGATACTATAGAGAAGATAATACAACAATATTGAGTTCACGAAGACCATATCTTTTCAAGTTGACATGATACTACCTTCACTTTTTGTAAGAAACTACAGGTTCTTACGTCTTAACGCAGTGACGAAGTCTATACACAAATAGGTTATTAGCACATCAAGACACAAATTATAAGGTAAAAGTACAACGGTGGATGAACTAAGGCTACATAATCCGAAAAATGAAGGGGATTTGGCGAACAGGTCTTTCGAAAAAAAGTCACAGACGGCTTAGTATCATAAGTTTTTAACGGGTAGAGACGTATAAATACCCATTGATCCCACATAAATGTGAATGCCATTGACTTATTAAGTATCATTTTACGAATACTCTGTTCTTTATAGTATCAACACACTCGTCCAGTGATGAAGATATTAAGCCTCATGTTGTTTATGCAAATACAATATATTTGAGATGTAGTTAAAGCAACCCTGAAGCCAATGGCATTTCCGAGTTTCGAATAACTAAAAACCCTGCGTGACTAACTGGGTAACGTGAAAATAAGAAAAAGATAAAATATTCAATATCTCGAACTGTCAACCCATAAAGAGTACCAAAAATATCATACGGATAGATTAAACCAACCTACCATAGAGTAGCAATCAAGTGTTTTAGACAGGCACAACAAAGATACGCTTTTAATAAATATCGATAACAGTTTTAAAGAGCAATCGGAGATGAAAATATACCACAAATTCAGTGGTAGACTTGATACAGAGCTAGAAGGCTGCAATAGGAAACTGTAAACGTTACTGTCGAAAAAATAAAAGCTTACACATTATAAAAACCCTGGTTCCATAAAGAGTATTGAACTAAACATAGATGTGAGAGTGAAACGACGGATAAGGGAATGCAAATCTTCCGGTATGAGAGATCGAAAAAACCTACAACAGTATTAAATAAGCACAGCTCAAGCCCAGTTAGCATAAGATCAGGGGACCCTCGAAGCACCCGAAGCACTTTAGGCTACTTCGAAGAAAATTATATGTTCACGAAACTGCCAGGAGGGCTACGAGACTGCCTCTAGGGTCCCGGTTAATGCTAACTGGGAAGTATTGAAATCACTTGTCTGTATCTCTGAATTCATGAAGAGGACCGTAATGTATCCCCATGACGCCAGAACAATATCTATAAGAACTGATTTTCAAGATGTCTCATGTACTAGTGAAATACTCTCCATATAACTTCAGAACAATCACTGATATGAAACAAATGTGAGAGATATTACGTAATGAAAGGAAATGATCTTTTTTCGCTTTTTGCTCTGTAGAAGACTCATCACAAGCAGAAATAATAGGTAAGATACTATGGTTAGATTGCACCATTTTGCATAACACGAACTGACCTAGTAATGTCGAAATTCCCACCACCAAATCCAAAACTCAATTCGTATCAGAAATAGGCTTCTGTTCGTCTGTTGAAATTTACATATAGGCTACTGAAGCTGATCCTTAAGAGTAAAAATTTATCCCTCTAATTGTTCTCTCCTGATTCAAACTTTGGAAAGGCGATAATTGTTTCTACAGTGATTTTCATAAAGGGCAGTGATTTTCGTACTTGTCGTGATTATCCTTGCTTTGTGTACTTGTTGCACCAAAAAGCACTCTTGGCCGATTTTAACTAAAAGTACTTTGGTTAAGGTTTGAAATTTTTGTTAAACTTTGTCCTGTGGAACTTTTTTTACTCATTGACTGACACTCGTGTTCACATTGTGACCATATTGTGTCTTAAACCTTTTTAATCAAAACACTATGGTTAGTAAGACTTATAAATGTGGACAACCAAACTGCTTGTTCCCCGTTGAGGAAGGAATGCAGTGCGATGAATGTAAAAAGTGGCACCATGAGATGTGTACACGTCCAAGTCCTACGGCATACAAAAGATACTCGAAGCCTAACTCGTGTTGGCTTTGTATGCTTTGCTGTGCAAATAAGAAGTTACTAATTAAGGAGGCTATGAGCCTATTGGCTTTGGCCTGTAAGAGGAACGATGGTGGTTGCGCTGGCAACATGAGCACTGACGGTGAAGAATGTGCCAGTGTAGTACGTGCCGCTACCGGACCCGCTAAACACCCGACTGTGATTGGCGAGAAGGTGAAATCTCCGTTAACATCAACGAGGAGTGAAGTGCCGCTTGATATTGACATCGGTAATCATACACCTCTAGTGGAAATTGAAGACCAGGATAAAACTGTCACTGTTCCAAATAGTCCCGGTGTGGCTGTCCTGAGTGATGATAAATGAACTTCAGTACGGAGAAAAAGAAATGAGAAAAGAGCTGTAAGCAAAACGCAGCTGGTTAGCAAGTCATTGAAAGAGACAGTAACAGAAACAAAAACTCCACTACGTGTCAAGACAGATCTCTCTGAGAGGTCAGCCATTTTTCGTAAGTTAAGAGAATCTCCCGATTAAGAACCAAAGGCTAGATTTGAACATAATCTCAGTCATATTAAGTCCTTAATAAGCAAACTACTTCCAGATACAGTTTCAGGAGTTAGTATTTGTAAGCTTCATAGAATACGACAAAAGGTGGAGTCTGAAAGTCCTCAGAAAAACCGCCTCTTGAAGGCTACATTCAACACGGTGGAAGAAAGGAACCTGATTCTAGTAACTCACGTAAACTGATTGGATCCGGAGTATGCGTCCGTGAGGATCTCAGCCTAGCTGATCGTATTAAGAGACGAGGTGTGGAAGCGGAAATAAATGAGCGTCGCCGAAACGGTGAAAGAAACCTCGTTCTTAAGGGTTTTCAAATTGCAAAAGTTCGGAGCAAAACGATCCCCAAGCCACTCTGGGTGGCAAGGGAAAGTTCTCCACAGACTTAAAGGTTTGCTACACAAATGCTCACAGCCTACTAAATCAAATGGCGGAGTTCAAGTCAATGGTAGATAAAGAAAAACCAGATGTTATTGCTGTCTCGGAAACTTCGGTAACGTCAGAAGTATTAGATAATGAAATTCAGTTGACTGGTTTCTTAACCAGTACGGCTGATAGATTAAACTGTAGGGGAGGCGGGGTTATCCTGTACACGAAAAGTTCGCTAACCATAAGAATAGCTGAGACTGTGACACATGTTTCAGGGACATGTGAACTGGTGAGATGTAAGTTGAAATGCCGAAGGCAAGATATTGAATTAGTTGTAGTATATCGCAGTCCAGAATGTGTAGCAGATGATTTTCTCCTCAGAAAACTTAAATCCTGGTGTAACAAGAGTAAAAGCCTCGTAGTAGGCGACTTTGATGCACCGTATGTAAACTGGGTTAACTTAGAAGTAGGGTCATTGATAACGTCGTTCGACTGCCAACTGTTAGACACCTCGATTGGATTAGCTGTATTCCAACACATTAGAAATCCCACGAGATATGACCTGAGAAACTCTTCTTTTCTTTTAGATTTAGTCTTCACACACGGTGATGACGTTGGTCAAATGGCTTTTCTCCCACCATTAGGGAGAAGTAACCATGCAGTCATCTTATTCAAATTCATGACTGAGATTGCCTGTCAAACAGTTGCGCCGGCCCGTCCTAATATACGGAAGGCAGATATGGAGGCAATCAACTCCGCAGCATCGGCTGAAATCTGGGAAATTGACTCAAAGGCATCAGTACAAGAGGCATGGACTCTTTTCAGGCAGTTATACAATCGGGTAACTCAACCATACATACCCTGGACTGTCCCAAAGAAAACGAAGCGCGGATATCCATGGATAGGGCGGGATATTCGACGTTTACTGAGACAAAAGAAGGAATGTTGGGATGTTGCCATCCGCCTTGGCACAGCAAGTACTATGGAACACTACAGATCGATAAGAAACGAGTGTATAACGGAAATTCGAGAAGTTCAAAGAAAATATGAAATGCAGTTGGCATAATCTGCACTCAAGCAGCCCAAGAGAATATTCTCGCACATAAATTACAGAACAAGGATGCATCACTGGATTCCCAACCTAATTAAAGTAGGAAGTAAATCTGAAATGATATAGGAAGATCAGGAAAAAGCAGAAGCTATGGCTGACTATTTGGGGCAGTTTTCACTCAGGAACCCACTCTAGACAAAGTACCAAACCAAAACAGAGTCAACAAACCACATGCTCGTCGTTGACTTCGATCAAGACGATGTGCTTATGGCTCTTAGCACCTTAAACATGGAAAAGCCGACAGGACCAGATGAACTACACCCCAAAATTTTGAGATATATTGCATAATATATCGCGGCCCCACTGACTGTGATATTCAATATGTCACTTGACCAAGGTGTGTTACCTATGGACTGAAAGGACTCAATCGTCACCCCCACACATAAAACAGGACCAAGACAAGTTTAATCGAACCACAAACCTGTAAGTCTGACCAGTGTTGTAGTTAAAATGTTGGAATGGATAGTCAAACGGACAATAATGGCATTTATGGAAACCAATAACTTGCTAAACATAGAACAACGTGGTTTTAGAAAGGGTCTGTCTCGTGCAGCGAACCTCCTTATAGCAAGGGAGTTTTGGATAAAGGCGCTAGACAACGGAAATTCAGTGGATGTTGTCTACATAGACTTCAGTAAGGCTTTTGACAAGGTGCCGACTAATAGACTGCTATCGAAGTTGGAAAACCCTGGTATTGCCGGACCTCTTTTAAAATGGATTAAGGATTTCCTAGTAGGTCGTAAACAGAAAGTAAGAATAAATTCCAAGTTCTCCATTTTGAGACCAGTACTTAGTGGATTACCTCAAGGTTCCGTCCTAGGTCCTTTAATTTTTATAATGTATGTTAATGATCTCTCAAGTATAGTACAGTCTCAAATGTTATTATACGCTGACAACGTAAAGATCTGTCGAGTAATAACTGAAGGCTTAGACGCAGGTGCTCTTCAGGCAGACTTAAATAATATGATTAACTGGTCTAAAGAGTGGCTGACGCCTATAAACGCGGCAAAGTGTGTCTACATGCACGTTGGGGATTAAAAGGTTAATAGGCACAACATAGGGGAAGTGCTATTGTAGTGGCATTGGAGCATAATCACACAATCCTCAAAGCTGAACACGAGACTACTCGGAAAATAGATATTCAATATTTAACGCCGAGAAATACCTAACGATGGAGAAGGCGCTAACAAAGAATCGAATGAATTGAAGTTAATCGGATGGCATGGCTCAGCCATGCAGGCGTGGTCCCTCTGAATATTACCTTATATCTTCTATTCATATTAAATATATTGTTCCTTCTCTAGACTAACCTTGTTCTACATCATGTATTGGTAATTGATACGAAACAGTGAGTTGGTGTAGACGATGATGTGACTTCCACGTAAGATCTTATAGATTAGGCAGTTATATCATGACAAATCTACAATTTTAGGATTAGGTCTATTATTAGAGCAGTACTAATATCATAGAAGACGATAATTCTACACTATTACCCGTGGTCGGGTCTCATAAGGATCTAGGGATGACAGTGATCCATGATCTTAAGACGACGGCCCATTGCCGGGAGGTAAGCGCTAAAGGGTTTCGAACCCTCTAGGCTTTAAAAAGGACATTCGCCAAGTTAGATATTGCCATGTTCACCACAGTATACACATCCTTAATGAGAACTAAGCTTGAGAACTGCGTTCAGGCTGCAAGCCCCTGTCTAAAAGGTGACTCGGATATCCTTGAAAAAGTACAGAAGGCAGCTACCCGTGCAATTCCAGTACTCCGGGGTTTACCATACAAAGGGCGGCTTGAAAAGCTGAACCCCTTTACTCCGTTCTATCTCAGATTAAGGAGAGATCTAATTTTGATGTACAGAATACTGAGAAATGATTTTGAACCTAACTTATTCTCTCTCCTTCTTCCCACTAGATCGGGACACCTCAGAGGACATAGCAGGCGAGCAGAAAAGCCATGAACGAGCAAACTACCCATGGCATACAGGTTTTTACACCGTGTCATCAATACTTGGAACCTGCTGCTTGAAGCAGTGGTGTCCGCACCTTCAATAGACTCATTCAAGAGAAGACTGGACACTCACAGAAGCATGCTAGAAAAGGAATAACATAGGTCGTAGGCCTTCTGTCTGTACTACACAAATGTAAATCCGAAAACGCCCAGAACTGGAAATACCATAGCAGAACGGACTGTATACATACCTTCTACTCCTTAAGAGTTGTCAAATGCTGGAACTCGCTGCAGGCTGAGCTAGTCCAAACGACTTCCCAAGAGCCCTTAAAGAGGAAACTTGACATATTCTTGAGGGCTAAGGATAGTATGTTGCCATGATCTACGAACATTTTTTTCTTTTCGTCTTTTATCCATAAAATACCTAGGATCCTGCCTGGAGGTGTCGTTGATCCAC